TTTACTTGAAAAGTGGAGATGAAGTGATATGTTTCTCCCTCTGACAATAATATACTCAGGGAAACTGATGATGAATACCTTTGTTATATGAACGTTAGATGCTTCATCTAGTGTTATATATTATATTTTTCAATGGGAAATATCTGATAATTGTGGGTTTTAAATGTCTTACTGATATACCGTGTATAAATTTAATTACTTGAAATAGTATTTTGCTCCAAAATTACTTACGTTTTTTAAAAGACCCTCTTGAGAAGGGAACAGTTTTGTGGTATTGATATTTATTTAAAAAAAAAATACAGTGTTTTCACAGCAGTTGTCATACATCCTTGTAAGCATCTGATTAGGCTCTTACCTACATGAAACTACTTCACTTCAGTGAATTATTCTGAGCTTTGATTTTTGTAGAAATAGTAATTTCTTGTAATTTTAGTTGCTGTTAAGACCCGTGTAAACCTGGACCTTGTGAAGTCAACAGTGAATTTCCGCTCACTTTAATGAAAGTAAGATTTCTGTTTCTTGGTGGAAAGAGAAATTTCTCTTTCAGCCTTGTACAGAAGCCAGGGGTAGCAAGCGGTCTGTCAGAGGAGTTTAAAGCAAGAGCAAGTGAACTGCAGTCCCAGCTTGATTCAGCTGTGTGCGACAGACCTGGAGAAACTGTGTGATGAAAAGAAGCTCGTTCTTTAATTTCTGTCCTTATCTGAAAATCCGCTTGATCAGGAACTACCCACATCCTGAATTATTTCAATCCTTAAAATGCAATCGCAGTTCACACGAGGGGTGACATTTCCGTAGTCAGTGCTGCCCAACTCTAGTCCCAGCGCTGCCTGCATACGTGTCTAGGCAAGAGCCGTGTGCTTTCAAAAAGCTCAAAATCCACTTTCGAAAGTGGATTTTGCAGCAGAGCACATTTAACCTCAAACTCAGATTGGTGTGAGATTGGTGTGAGGGCTTTGAAGTTACAAGCGTGCCTCCAGCCTTTTCCCCTCTTGCGCTGTTTTGTGCTGCTCCCTGAGTGCAACGTAAATAGGAGTATTTACTTACTTCCATTTGAGCAGTTTAACGCCCACTGAAAATAGCTTTGTAATGAAGTCCCTGCTTTGAGTGGGAGTACAGTTTTGACAGCAAAGAAACTCGGTGCTTCTGTTTTCCATATTCTTTTAGCTGCGTTATGATCCCAGGGTGCATGCACAGCACTGAAAGGCAGCAAAAATTGTTTTCATTATAATATAAGCAACAAATAACATTTCCATAATAATTTCCATTGCATTTTAAATAGCTTTTTGATCAGGTTAAATTTATTTGAGATAAAAGAAACGTTATATTGCTGCTTAACCTACAGATGCTCTTATTTTGCTTCACTTTGTCTTAATACTGCTTTGAAGGCTCCAGTGAAATCTTTCTGTAGACTACTGAATATCCAGGAAATGGGGTACGCCTTTTCTTCTGGCTTCCAGTTCTGGTTATGTTCTTTTAAAAAAAAACTTGTCTAGCTAGAGAACACGGCCAGTTAGAGAGTGCCTTTCTGTGTATCAAGTCCTTCCTTCGCGTACTAAACTGAGTAGTAACTATTATTCTTGTAACTGGTAAGTGCAGGCTATAGGACAAAGCTTTTCTAGTCTAATTATGTATTCCAGATCTGTGGTGTCTGTATGTAGCCCTGCTCTCAAATGAGAAATAGGCAGATGAAACCTAATATGTAGATGAAATCTAATAATAGCATGGAGGTGGTTCTTTTTCAGTTCACTGAATTATGCTGTAAATGGGCTTTAAGTAGTTAAGTTGTCCTATGAAAGCAGGGGAATGCAATGGCAATGAAGTATCAGTAATAGGCTGGCTGCTTTTTTCTATGGTTATTTCTAAAGGGTACATAAATCTGGATATTTTTTTTTTAGCTATTTTAAAGCAATAAACAATGAAGTTAGAGTCACACAGACAAAATGTGCATCTTGTTTTGGAGTTGTTTTTCTTTGTAAGTAGAGGGCTAATCTTATTATTGGTCAAATTACAGCCAGGTCTGCTGGAAGAAGGACAGTAAGAGTGTTCACACAGCCCTTAGGACAGCAGTAGCAGCAAATGAAGGGCACCACATCTTCATTCTGTAAGCGGAAAGTGGGAAATAAAGTGGATTAGGGAGCAACATCTAGATTGTGGTGTTCTTTAGGTGTTGTTTGGCTGTTCAAATATGGGTAACAGTTCCACAATAAAGGAACATAAAGTAAAAATCAGCTGCTTTTGAGGCCTCATCTAGAGGTGTGATCTGTGTTTACTTTGATTACATTTCAATCTGAAGAGGGCTGTGAGGACTGCAGCACTATTACAGTCATGTTTCAGAGAAACCTTCTACAGGCTGTGCTCTGCAAAGCTGTCTCGCTGCCTGTCGCACTGGTTGTGTGCTCTTGCAGTTTAGTATTGCTAATGCAAGCAAGTATGGCAAATACTGAAGTCTGAATAAACAATTTATCTCCTATATACCTTATTTAAGATTTTATAGGCTTGCAATATCTCACAATAAGAGCTGAGGCTTTTCCTGTTAATGTGAGGTGTTGCAAGCCACCTAAACTTGAAGCTAGCTGACAAGTAACAGACTTTAATCAACACAAACCATTTATTTTTAAGCAACAACTGAGAAAAGAGAAGCAATGAGAGAAGTATTTTTATCATAAGTAAAAATTCCAACCACAACAAAAAAAAAGCCGATAGTAATGAATTTAGCATGCTTTGGTAACTGTCGAAGGATCCATACCGATATGCCTGTTTTCCTACAAAACTCGTTCCAGACAGACAGGAGGAGGATGTCCCTATCACAGCTATCACCAGGTAGAAACACACACATTTGCACCTGCTTTTGTCCTGGCTCTTTCAGTCAGACCTGCCTTAGGCATGGGCAGTGCAGGCAGGCAGTGAGCTGAGGGATGGGGCAGAGGACCCCAGTCAGCGCCAGCTCCCCAGGGGAGAGCCCCCCATCCTGCTGAGCACCAGGGCCAAGCTGCCCTGCTCCCCTCCGCTCCCCACCCTGCTGCTGCCAGGGCTGGGGCACCCCGTCAGCATACCTCCCGCTCTCCTGGGCTCCCCTGGTGCCTTGGCAGGGCTCAGATAGGTTACTTTATTCGCATTATTTTTATCTGATTCTGTGGGTGACAACATTCAGTTTTACTGAAACTACTGAGAAGCCTGGAATACCTGTGAACACTTTCAGGCGCTTGTATGCATTACACCAGGGGCCAGGTACCTGCAGGGAGCATTCTGATTTAACATGTTTCTTGCTGTTGTACTGACATTTGCTTAAAAAACCAGCACAATTTTAAAGCTTGCTTATAGAGCCCTCATGAAATGATCTGGGAACATTTGCTGATATTAAACATTTTCTTTGTTTACTTTAAAAATGACAAGTTTACTTATCCAAACTCCTTTTTCTGTGTTGTCTTAGCACCCATTTACATAGGAAGGCTTAAAAAAAACCCCAACAAATTAAGTGAAGATGTGAATTTAAAACAAATTACTTTAACGGCATTAAAATGCTGTGTAGGAATTCTTTTTAGAATTTGAGTGCTCTAAACCGCCTTTAACTTCGTTAACTTGAAAGCCTCTTGATTGTGAATAAGTTGGGGACTGAGGCCAATTAATTAATCCACTTTAAACGTTAATTCAGTATAATTTCCTGAGTGTGTGTCTGTAGGCAATCCTGAGGAGTACAGGCTGCAGAAACGGAAACTAATACATATCGTACTTTCTTTCAAAGGACTTTGGTTCCCATCTAGGTCTGGTAACAAGTAGCTAAATTTGAAAAGAGCTCAGCAGTTTAGATTTTTTTTTTTTAAAGATCTGTTTCTTAGTGTCACAGTGGTACCAACTGAGTGCTGAGCACTCCTTCAAATATGTATTTGTGCCTATCTCTGTGTGCTCAACTCTTTTAAATCTAGTCCCAAGCTCTTTAAAGCTGCTGCAGTGACTGCATTGTTGGAGAGCTGGGTTTGTTACCGTTCTCTTATATAGTCTCAGTATCCTCTTCATCAGATTTTCACTAAGCATTTCACTAAGAAAATTAAAGTTCATTAAGAGATGTTGTTCATGTCAGCCTTCCCTACTATTTCTGAGTCTTTTTTTTAATGCAGTGGAATTTAGAGAAATACTGTGAGCTTTGTAGAAAATCTTCAAGGGAAAATTCTGTTGGCAGAACGTAAGGCACATACTGATACTCAGTGATAGATGCTTCTTTGGTATAATCTCTGCTGACCTTAATAATATATAGGACATGGCTTAATGGGGTTTGTGATCATAAACGCTGCAAGCTGTGCATTGTGGTGCAGAAGTGTTGTGTGCACAATTTCTTCTCCAGTGACTGCTTAGAGCCTTTGAAATTCTCATTTATCCTTTCCCAGTATAGAATGTAATAGCATCGTTCTTTTAAAAAAAAAAAAAAAAAAAAGCACTCTTGAATTTATACCAAGAACTTAATGGCAAAATCACAATTTTTTATTCCACTTAGCAATTTGGCAGTGGAAAAGCCCTACTGTGTTCTTTCTTTGAAGTCCGAAAAAAGTCTGGCCTAGGTTCTTTATTTGGGGAAAAGAGATTTGCCTTGTGTAATAATTATTCTCCTAATGCCATGGGACACTTAGGGTGCCTTGTGTTTTCCTGACACAAACATTTAGCTCATCTTTTGTTTTTATACCACTGGCTACTTAGATGAGACTTGTAGGATTTGGAAAGAAAAGGAAAGCACCTTCTAATAAGGGATTGTCTTCTCATTAGCCCTACTGATTTTCCAAAAGATTTTGCTTTGTGTAATGCATTATAATTATATGACAGGAGAACAGTGGAGAATATGGCATAGCATTTCCCATAGGTTTCCTTTCTGAGATAAGAAAGATAAACATTCTGCTTTGCTTCTCCAAGAAGGACAAAAAAAAGAAAAAAAAAAAAAACCCTCTGCAGTTTCCTGCGAGGCAGTTGGATGTGAGCTGCTTTCTGGAGCTGAGGCTTTCCACTGCCAGACAATGATCTGTGTCATGCGGGGAAATGGGGTGTACAAAGTAAGGAAGCCCCCTGGACTGAGGTGAGTGTCCTCGGCTTCCTGAGACTGCGCCTTATCGCCCAAGGGTCCCTACGCACTCACGGGGCTTTATCTGCGTGGCTCCCGGAGGGGGAGAGTGGCTGTTTATTTTTCCAGGGTGCTCTCTGTTCTGGGGGAAGAAAGGGAGGCCTTTAATTGGATCTCTCTTTTGTTCCTGGATTGCTACAACTTCAACGAAATCAGAAGGAGTGGGAGCAGGACAGAGGTCTGGTTTAGGGTATGTGTAGCTTGACTCTGAATGACCCACCTCTGTTTCAGCCGTGACACCCAGGCCAGGGAAATATTTTGCTTAGACTGGCTTTCCTAAAGCACGGAGAGAATCTCTAGTTACAGAACGAAGCAAGCAGCAGTGATGCTTTCTGTTTGCTCCACTCTCTACTGCACTTCTACAGTCTAAATTGTGCAAAAGGGAAAAAAATACCCAGGTATCACTTTCCCATACCAGCTGCGAAACTTGTGCTACGGTTCCCAAAAAGTCTAGGTGCATAAGAGGTTTAAAAGCTTTAGAAGGTTTCAACAGGAGAAGCTGTAAAATTGCAGTAACGTTCCCAGTGTCAGTGGTTAACAAGATAGTGACAAACACAGAGGGATGATCTCCTCGATAGCTTCGGAGCTTTCCAGTTCCCTGAATTTTTGCTTTCTTGTTTAACTTTCTCATTTGTAACTTCTTTTATTATTCTCAAACCAAGTTTTGTAATGCACTGACATCTGCTGTGTGTTTGACAAATGCAGGCACTAAAGAACGGAAATAAGCCTTGCAGCCTACACATAACGGGACTCGAGAAATAAAATTTAAGAAAAGGGAAGAAGGAGAGCGGGAGAACCTGGTAGCTTATTGTATAAGTTATACAAGGGGATAAGAGGGAGCAAGCCACCCTGCCCTTAAGGATCTTACATTATAATTGTTTTATTGGGAAAAATGGCATAAAGTAAGCTGATTTCAGTCATACAAACAGCAGATCTGTTGATCGACTATAGTTATCACCATTTAGAAAGAGCTACATTAGCCCAGTTTTGTCTTTTTTGGTCTAATCATGGTTGGGGTGATGTGATGGCCCTGAGGTGATGGGCGTAAGATCCTGATAAGTATCTTTTCTGCCAATTTTTAGAAACACTGAAACTGAGAGGAAACAATGTAGCTGAATAACCCGCTATCTGCACAATAAGCACTGTGTTATTTACAACTGTTCTGCAAGATGGGAGCAGCCTCTAACCCACCAGAAAATAAACTGTAGGTACTATAGCAGGAGCTGCTGCACAGTAACATCACTTTTAAAACACTAGACCAAACTGTGAAAAGACTCTTGCAGTTAGATTGCAGCAAAACTTATTGCTGGTCTAAAGCTTCCCTGAAACATTTTATCTGGTGATTGGTATCTGGCTGGGGTGTGAGGCAGCGGAGGTGCTCCATGGTGGCATGGGACAGTCATACCACCACTGTCCGTGGGCTGAAGGGAAAGCCACAGATGGCCTGTGCATCACTCAAAAGCAGATCCCAGCCTGTGCTCTTCCCCAGGATACATTTCAGCTGGACATTCAAGAGACCCAGGGCAGTACTAATCAGAATTCTTTTATCAAAACAGTTTTATATGAGAAACAACCTTTGCCCAAAGGAATAGTTACGCAGTTTTGCTTTTTGTCAAAAATTGACTGCATTTCTAATGAAAAACTGAAGCCAAGCTGGGATTTTTGGTCACATTTTCAGCTGAAAATAATTGTTTGTAAAAACACACTTTTTTTTTTTCAGAAACAGAGTGTTTTAATAGCTTCAGGGAAGAATCTCTTCTACAATAAAGACTGAAAATCTAACAGTCTCTCTGGAAAGGGGGGAGCCTTCTAGCAAATGGTTTCTCAAAATACAGACTTCCACCAGCTCCATGAATCAATGAGTTATGGCGTTGTCCCTCACATTAGTCCTTCTGTAGGTAACGTTTAGGTGGTATGCCTCTGATGTAGGTAAGATCCTATGCATAGACACTTGAGCAAGAAAGAATAGGTGGCCTTACTTTTTTTTTTTCCCTATCCCAAAGCTGGCTGTAAAAACTTCTTCTGTAAATGTACAGTTTAGTAGAAAAACTAGGCTTCACTTGTGTCATAAAACGTTGTTTCTCCTTTTGTTAATTCACAGCAAATGTGCAAAAGGGCTGCAAGGCCATGACAGTGCTGGATTAACACCTCACCCAACAGAAAGAACTGAAACAGAAAAGTACCTTTTCATTATGAAGAAGCTTAAACAGCAGGGGAAATCCTCCTCCCCATGAGATCAAGAGGGAAATTCCTTTTTAGCTTCAAAAGAACCAAAATTTAGCTTTGTATTATTCTGAAAGCCTGTCTAAAAGCCCTGGTGTTTCTATCACTTTGCAGTCTTCCCACAAGCAGGGAAAAGCAATACAGCTCTTTACATCTTTATACAGAGATACAGCTCTTTACAACCTTAGATCAGTTTTATAGGTCAGTAGAGGGTTTGCTCCTGGGGTGGTACTCAGGAACATTTCTTCAAGGACATGTAGCATTAAGTGATTGCTGACTTTCTCTCATTCTTTGTTTTTGTTTCAACGGTAGTAATGTCTTCCTTGAACGTCTATGCTGAAGTGCCCTTAATTCATAATTTTTATTGCTGCTTATGGTCAAGAAATGTCCACCTAAATATCATATTGTCAAACTGAGATGTCTGACATTAGCGATCATGATTGGTATTTAGACACATGAGTTCCCAGGTGCATTTAAAGATATGGTATATTACCTAATTCTGAGAAACCACATGTACAAAAATGTGACATTAAATGACTCGTGGAAGATCCAATAGCAAGTAAAACTTTGCATTATGCCTTCCAGCAGCAATGCTGTTTGTAAAATACTTGAAGAGCCCAAAATGTGACATGCTGCTTAAATGACATATATTATTCCATTCATAACATCAAGTAGTAAAGACTCATGCTTTAAGCAGAGTTATAATTGTTGATGAACTAACTTACCAGGTGAAGCTGAGCCTATTTCTCCTCACTGGAGTGTAAGCCATGTATAGGGCTGCATTTGTTCCTTGATATGCACTGCACATTTTCAGAGCTGCTTTCTTTAAGCACTAAAAGCTAACAAATTACTCAAGGCAAAAATCTTTTTTTAAAAAAAAAAAAAAAAACACAGATAAAAAAAACCCCAGCCAAACCCCTTAATTTCCTCTGCTATATATTTAAGTCAGATAAAATCAAGGTTAAAAAAATTCAGCCTCTCACCTTGCCTATTAAAAGTGAACCACTGGAGAAGAACAAATTTTAATTATTTTGAACTATTATTCCAAATACCTGCTGAAGATTTTAGCAAATGTTCAGTGCAATACATATAGTCCTGTATTTAGCGGGCACTGTGAGAGCTAAGCCAAACATGAAGCCATTGAACAGAACTGGCTGAATACAGTATTCAGTCACATGGCACACTGGCGAGTTGCCCGTCTATGCAAATAATGTTATTTCATGCTTAATATGAGACACCTATGGCACCAGGAAGATGAAGATGGGTGGTATGGAGCTAACTAGGTACCTAAAAGGACAAGGAAGAAGCGGGAGAGATATTTTTTTTTTTTAAATAATTGCATTTTGTTGTTAGATAACATAAGTGATGTTTATATTCTGAACCCCCCTGGGGACATCATGGAGATTCTTATAAGCCCCAAGGGTATTTTTCCCCCATCACACCCCTGCCTTTGGCCAGAGTTCTGCAGGAGCTGCTCTGGGAAAGGTCTCTGGGAGATGGGCTGAATCTTTGAAACTTACTGTGATCCTCACCCTTCCCCTTTCCAATCAGCATCGTCTCTGTGGGCTGTGCCGGCCAGCCCTGCATCACACCATCGGGACGATGTTAGCATGTCCTGACCTCCACACGGAGTTGTTGCTGTCTGACCAGGCGGTGCTGGCTGGCTCTGACAGAACCTTCAACTTGAACCCTTGGGTCATGGGCTGGAATTATTTGTGCCTAGCATAGGTTGGACTTGCCTGTGGGGCTTAACTTCTTCTGACAGCTATTCCTAAGACGGGCGTATCTCTTTTATTTGTTGCGAGGAATAGCTACAAAATGGATGAAAAAAGGAAAACAAGTTAAAATGAAATTATATGTAGGTAAACAAACTGTAATAAAATGAATGGGATGAACTTTCATCTACATCTCAACTGGATTTGAGCCAAGCCCCTTCTGAGAGTCTAAGAAAGTTTGGTTAATTATTTTTTTTCTTTGGTCTGCTCTTCATTTCCTTGTTCTCATTGCAACCAAGAGCAGAAACACTGGAAAACTGTGAGCAAGCCTGATACACTGATGTTTCTGGCCAGGTCAAAAGTAGGACAGGCTGGAAATGTCATTCAAACTCCCATGTTTGGTAGGTTTCCAGTTCAGGTTTGCATACTCAGAAGGTTGGAATAAGATTGAGATAAACAAAAAGACCTCAGGGTGATTGTACAGACAAAAATCAACTTCCAGAATTTAGGTGGCTGAGCTTAAAGTGAAATATTCAGCTTCTTCAAGGTTTCTGTTCTTGCTGTGAAGGGAAATTTAATGTTTTGGGATTGCATTGTGCTTCCAAGGCCACTGGTTGGTTGCGACGATGCAGGGACTTAAAAGATGTCTGAGGGTCAAATCCACCTTCCACTGGCACCACAAGCTGTATCTCCAATGAGTGCACGCTTTCAAGTTATGCATTCAAGTTTTGGGGGGACTGTATGTACTCTGAAGTGGCTAAAGCTTAGCTCTTTTCCTCCAGAAGGAAAAAAATCACTTCCATCACATCACTTCCATCACACCACTTCTAACCTGATTCCCTAGAGATTGTATGTGGTTTGATCCAACAAAACAGATTTGACCACAGATCAAACCTAGTTATATAATTTGCAATCTTAAAATCTTTTCAGAAACATAGTAGTTGCATTTGAAAGGAAACAAACTTGTGCTTCTAATTGTTTTAAAGTGCAGCAGGCACTCAGTAGAGGTACAGCTGG